TTTCCTCCAGAGACAATTCCAAGTGCTCCCCATTTTTGTCAATATTATCCAGTTTTTCCAGATAAATAAATTGGCCTTTCACTTCACAAAAAGAAAAAAAAATTAACAATGAATTTTTTTTCAAAGAAAATTATATTTGATGCACAGTTTCTACCCATAAACTTAGTAGTATACCTCCTCCTGCCCCAATCAGTCCTTTCTAGAGCTCAAAGCACTCTAGCTGCTCCAGGATTCTGCTCAATTATCATCTTTCCTTTATATCATCTACATTTCCCTCTCCAATGGCTCTACTTGGTCAGCACATATAAACAGGTTCACACTGATGCAGAAATGCTTTCTGGGTCCTATGTCTTATTCTATCATCTCACTCCTCCTACACACAGCCACGCTTTCTTGAAGTACAGAGTATGACTATATTGTTCTCTTCTCTACCTCCACAAACATAGTTCCAGATAGGCCCTCAATAGTTATTCTCATTGTTTCAATATTGATGCTGAAAATAGAGAAAGCCCAATAGAAAGGTGGAAAACACAGTTCAGCAGCCACTTTATAAAAAGAGAATATCCAAAAAAAAAAAAAAAATAGGAAAAGGGGCTCAACTTTGTTAACCACCAAAGAAATAAAAATTAAAACTACAAGGGTCCACCATTACATAGCCATCAGATGGCCAAAATGCAAAAGATGAAAATATCACAGCAGGTTGAGGACAGTTAGGACCCTCATGCATGTTAGAAGGGGCACAGATTGTCATACCTGCTTCAAAAAGGCACGTGGTAATAACTACTAAAGCGGAATTCATGCAAGCCCCATGATCCAGCGACTCCATCCCTAGGGCTGCACCTGCAGAGATGTACCATACTATTCATAGAAGCACTATTTGTAAGTGCCAAAACCAAAAGTAATCCAAGTTTATCAATGGTAGAATGAACGATTATAGCACATTCATAGGATGGAATTCAACACCGTAATGAGAATGGATGATTGTTACATGCGACAACATTAACAAATCTCACTGACGTACCATGGAGTGAAATAAGTCAGACACACACACGAAGCAGAGCACATGATTCCATATATATAAAGGACAAAAGCAGGCAAAAGTAATAGATACGGTGTTAAAAGTTAGGACCGCAGTTACCCTTGGGTTCTAACATAACTGGAAAAGGGCAAGAGATGTGCTCTTACAATGCAGATAATGTTCAAATGGTGAAAATCCATCAAACTGTCTACATCCTTTTCTGTATATATATTATATTACACAATTTTAAAATCTGGATATATTGATTCATCATTGAGCCACTTCTTATTCAAAACACTCTTGACTTCCTTTTCTGTCTCACTCTATAGATGCTAAGATTCTGAGGCCAGGGACTAATCCTTGTCTATCTCGGCTTCCCTACTTCCTATACAGAGCTTAGTACACACCTGCTCTCAACAAATGATTCTGGATGAGTGAACAAGCATGGCACCTCAGCCCCACCGATTTTGTTCTCTTTTATGCTCTTGATACTGAAGTCTGCATTTTCAGCCTCTTCCCTGGGCTCCAGGTCTTGATATCTGCCTATAGACACTGCAGTGATAACAATCTGCCCTTTATTTGGAACTGGCTTTGAGTCAGGAGCTTTACCTATCACAAACAACCTGCACATTAGTAATTATTATCCCCACTTTACAGACCAGGAAATCAAGGATCTCCAGAGGTTTACCTAAGAATGCACAGGTGAAGTACTTTGAAGAAGTAAAATTGAAACTCGGGTCTTTCTTATCCCAAAGCCAAGGATCTTTCCACAGACCACACATGACCACAGATACAACATATCTAAAATGTAGCTCACACAGGCCACGCGCAGTGGCTCACGCCTGTAATCCCAATATTTTGGGAGGCCAAGGCGGGCGAATCACCTGAAGTCAGGAGTTCAAGACCAGCCTGTCCAACATGGCAAACTCCGTCTCTACTAAAAATACAAAAATTAGCCAGGTGTAGTGGTGTGCACCTGTCCTCCCAGCTTACTCAAGAGGCTGAGGCAGGAGAATCACTTGAACTCAGGAGGTGGAGGTTGCAGTGAGGTCACACTACTGCACTCCAGCCTGGGCAACAGAGCAAAACTTCATCTGAATAAATAAATTAAAATTAAAATTAAAAATGAAATGTAGGTCACTACTTTTCTCAAAGGCCTGCTCATCTTCCTTATCCTGAGCAGTATCGTCACTACCCAACTTGTCACCCAAGCTGCAAGTCCTGGGAATTGCCTTCAATTTCCCTCACCCTTCACACTGACTCAGCCACTAAGTACTGTGTGCTAAGCTTGACAGTCCATCCTGTGCTTAGTATTCTAAATATTGCAGCATTAATTCAGGCTTTCATTTTTTTCTCTTGAATATTACTATAATTGTCTGCAAACCATGTCTCCCAAATCCAGGCTTGTCTTCCTCTGTATCATTCTTGTGATGCTGCTTGAGAGATCTTTGTAAAATGCTAATCGGAATATGTCCCCCCGTCTTGCCTACAGGACAGAGTTCAAACGTAGCAGCATGGCATACCCTCCTTGACCTGGTCGTGGCCAAGCTCTCCATATCCTTCCCTTGTGACTCGACTCCTCCTCCTCCCACCTTGTAATCCTGCCATGTGAAATGCACCTCACAAATGCACCTCTCTGTTTCCATGTCTCTGGATCCTTTTTTGCTAAGGCTTTATCTTCCTGGAATGCCCTTTCCCATGCTGTCTACCAGGCAAATTCCCACCCATCCTGCAAGAGGCAGCTCAAGCACTTAGTCCTCTGTCAAGCCTCTCAAGTAAAGCTGCTGCATTGCTTTCATGTCACAGCTAAGCTTTGTGCATCCTTCTCTTACAGCCCTTTCATAATGTATTGCTGTTTTTACAGACTGCAGCCTTCAGTTCTAGACCATTAGCTCCTCGGGGACACATGTCTGCTTTTTATTGCATGCTCAGACCCACATGCAATAGTCAACAATACTTGAACAAGTGAATTAGTAAATGAAACCAATTGTATGTGTACATATAATCTTAGTTGCAAATAATTTATTTTTAAAAGCAAATCCCAAGAGAATGATCCAGGCAGAAACAATGAGGCAAGAATAGGTCATTTATCTTTGTAAACTCTAGGAGAGTGCAGCTCAAAGTGTAAGGCTGAAAACAACATTTAGCTGTTGTGTGTCCGCAGGAACATAGCATCCTCCTCTCCCAGGCCACTCGTCAATAATTTCCTCCTGCCACCACCGCAGCCATCTCTGATCCTGGGCAAGGGTTAAGTTCAGGGGTGAAAGGAAAAGGGTGAAGATCTGTATTGAATAGACTATCTCCTGGATCCCTAGTCTCTGAATCGAGTGGAGAGAATCACTGATACGCAACCTCAAGTTTTCGGTGAAATAAAAATGGTCTAAACCTTAATAGAGATGATTCTCATTGCTAACCAGGATAGAGCAGAATATTCCATTTATCTCCTGGATTGGCTAAAGTGGAACAGAGCAAAAATAAACATTCTTCAGATTGTGCTTTCACTTCTAAGATGCACGACAGGAACGTGGGCATATCAATGGTCAAGTGGTGATACTGTTAGTTCTGAATGAAGAAACTAAGCAAAGGACTGGTGGAATTGACAAAGATGAGTATGGCTGCAAAGCACAGTGAGAGAAGAAACTTGACATCTGAGAGTTGAGTGAGGAGCTGAGAAACTCTAGGCAGGAATACCCACTTCGCCAATCACTCCACGCCACCTCGCCAGCCCGGGCCACACGGTACTTAAGTACAAGGCGGGACATCAGATGACCTACCAAAAGCACTCCTTGCACAGAGGAGAAAGCTGACTATGGCTCTCGCCAGCCCCTACTCTACATGAAGGCTACAATTAAACAGCTCTCCCTGGAATAAGGCTGTGGAAAGAAGCAGCCAAGTGCCCCCCTGAGACACACAGAAAAGCAATAACTATGTTGACATTCCAAGAAGAGAGAGGGAGAAGAGCATTTCTCTTGCAGTCACATTCTTTAATTGCCTCTTCTGGCTTCCTTTCTGGAGAGAGAAGGGAGGTGGATGGCGGCTGGATCATGTAAAAGACCAGAGTGCAGCTGATGTGAACTTCTATCAGGCCTCCTTGCACAAAGACCTTATTATAATACACACATAAAAATGCATGGGCAAGTCTTGGAGGGTTGGGGTTTTTCCCCCCAAACTCACTCCCAGCCCCGTGCTTTGAATGCAGTTGTGTATACACACCCTCTGACAGAATAGGTTCTTCGTGTTGCCATGGAGCTGAAACCTCTGTAGTTTAGATGGAAGGATCACAGTGCTTTTATGCTTTTAACAGCAGAGGTAAGAATCACTGCATAATATTAACTCCACTTTTATTTCAGATTTTCAGTTGCTCATCTTCATATTCTGCGTGAACTCTATTTAATTTTTTTACTTACTCCATGTAAAATTACCTCATAGAAGCTGCTAGCAAGCTGATTCTTATCTTTGTAAATCAATATGTCAAAACTTAAGTGCATGCATGATGTGTGAGTTTTCCCCACCCCTGCCCTTTCTAACAGAGAGAGTTTGTGACCTTATCACATCTAGGGAAGTTTATGAGAAATGCAAAGTGCAAATCAATCCATAGCTAATAAATATGCTACAAAACACATAAAACGTCGCATAACCAGTACCTATTTTCTCTGATAGATAAATCTAAAGATTATTTATATTCTGATTATTATTTTTCAAATAGGTTTCAAGAATCAAAATCATATCCAGAACACTTTCGCAAACATAGATATGCTTCTGCAAGTTCCTCTCAGATCTTGTTTCAAAACTTAGCTATTACCCTATTGTTTGGAAATCAAATAAAATAATCTAATGAAAGAAAAACAAAGTAATTCCTAGCACAACCTCAATGTCTATGCTGCTCCTCCTTTTCAGATTTTGTATCTCCTAAGAAATCAGTGATTTGACTTCTGCAAAATCAAATGCAAAGGAGTTAAATAGAACAATTTTGATTTCCTACCTGGAAATATGATTTTGGTCCTAGTCACACATTCTCATAATCTTGAGCCTCAGTGTCTCAGGTAAATTCGCCAATCTGCCGACAAGAAGTTTTGTATTATGACTTCTCCTCCCACAGTGCATGCATTACAACTTGACTAGGAAAATGACCTTCATCTTAACCAGAACAGCAAAACTGAATCCATTGGTTTGAAAACTGAGAGTGCAAATATGTGGAGGAGGGAGAGGCAAAAAAAGGTGGATAAGATGTTGCACTAAGCTACACACAATATTAGTGCTAGAGTGCTCTGTAAAATGAAATCTTAAGAATTAGAAAATAGTTTATGAGGAATAAAATACTGATGGCACTAGATGATAACCCAAATAATAAAATAAATATCCATGAATCCATACCAAAGTCAATCAATCAATCAATAAAATATGTAGCTATTTCCTCCCTTCAAAGATAAAGCTTAATTCTTCTCCAGTTAGGTGTGGGCTGACTTTCAAAGAATAGAAAATAGAAAGAGAAAAGCAGTAACTTTACAGTGAAAAAACGTGGCAGAGTCTACCGTAACCAAGTGATTAAGGTTAACATCACCAGTGATAAGGCATGTTGATGTGACACAATTCCCAACAAAATGTGATGAGATGGGAACTTTGCCTTGTGGTATTTTGCCCCCAAATCCATAACTCCAGATCACAAAATTCCTGGTCCATACTCTTCCAAAATGTCAATTCCATCTGAAACAAGTAGACTGTGCCATGGTACTATCACATTGTATCTTGTGTCATATTAAATATTTTTAAGTGAGTAGCTAATTAATACCAAATAAACTTCTCAAGCAAACCAAACTATTCTTTAAAACAGTTAACCAACCACTCAGAACAGCCTTTTTAAGATAGTAATATTATTTAGATAAGAATTTTTCTTCTTCTGTTTTGAAGCTTTCAGAACACCTCAGTATGACATCTTCAAATGTTGTACACTTCAGCTAAAGACAGTGCGTATATTTCCACTATGACTAGCAACAATGGTGCTTGTATTGATCATTCTGGCAGCTATTTAAATAGGCTTGTTCTCTCCCTATCTCAATGGCCTCACAATGCTAATACTACAATGCTCAGGACCTTCTGAGCACCCTAGCCACATGCCCCTTACTGCTTGTGGACAGGCATTCCCCAGCCTCTTGGCTGGGTGACAGCAACCACAGCAGCCCACAAGACGGGTGGAGAACCAATGAGTAAAATGATAAACATTTGTGATGAAACAGGATGTTAGAGACGGGGGGTGAGGAGACAAAATATCTCAACATTGAACTACTAATGCTACTTTGGAACTCCTAACAGTGTTCCCTTGTTGTAAAACTAGAAGCAGTAAACAGATATTTTCTCTGGTGTTTTCTCCTTTATTATAAATAATTTCAGAATTACTGCTATACAACACACCATTACCCAGGCACAGAAGTTAAGACTTTGAGCTAACTGAACCACAAGCACTATACCCCCATAAATATTGTAAATGTTCACTGGAGACACTTAAACAATTATGTGAAAATAAAATGTTTTCTGGACAGAGAACACATTTTCAATAGTTTAGCCCTTGCTGCTGATTGAATGTACACTTTAAACCACCATTTCCCCTCTTATCTATGCCAGTTAGTAACAACAACAATAATCACTTGCAAGCCCAGGAACTTTCCGGTCAAGTATAAATTTAAGAAATTCTGAAATAAACATAGTACTTCACTTACACAGTGTCCTAGACTCAGACTTCACTTTGATTGACTCTCAATATGTAAGTAAATATCTCTTAAGCTGAAATTCTACTGAAACTATTCCCTGATTTCTGTACTTGGAGTACAATCATTTTGTTTTAATTGCTATGTATTGAAGAATCCACAAAATATTAATGTTATAATTATGTTATAACATTAATGTATCATGAACTCCTGCTCAACCCCATAAATTAATGCACCAGTACATATATGCATATATACCAGTACTATATTGCAGAAAAAAATGGTTGAGGTGGTTCCCATTACTTCACACACTGATTCTGATATCAAGGTTAAAAAACAAAACAAAACAAAAATGTGAAATCGCCACTATGGTGGTGCTCTCTTGGACTCCTTTTTAAAGAGGGTTATCAATAAGGATGTCTTCTTAGAGTCTATGATACTCATCTCTCTCATCCATTTCACTCTTGCTTTATTGCTAATGATTGCACCAAAACAAAGTAAATGATTGCACCAAAATAAAGTTTAAAAAAATTCCATCTTAGTAGCAATTTGATATTTTAAATAAATCTCTGAAAACCTTTTCCACCTGAAGTGTCCTAACAGTGACAGATCATTTTGCAGTATATACAAGGAGATGGAACACAGCTATACACTAAGGAATATGGATGAGGCAGGAAGTGACTGAGATGTAGCAAGCTCACTTACTTCAGACTAAACACAAAACTTCATAGCAATATTAAACCCAAACTTCTAGTCATTTTTAGACTTGAAAACCCAATTCGATCTGTCTGAATTTCAACTCGTATTTGACAAGTACCTCCAAATGAAAAAGTGGGAAATTACAAAGATGAATTTGAGGACACACATTCTACTTTTGTTCTCCACTTGTTACATTTATCATCCCCAAATATTATTTACCCATCTCTTTTATGCATTTATCTTTAAAAGTCATTTCTGGAAAACTTAGTAATTAACATTTTGAAAACAATGCTAGAGTAAAAAGGTTACAGCATCATATATATTTCCTTTAAGAATGTGTTAGATATCGCCCTTCAAAGCTGTTGTTCGTGTTGAACAACAGGACATCAAACTTGAAAAGGCAAAAGTAAGCCTATGAGAAAACGCACTAGGTGCAGTATCAAAGATGAAAGTGACATTTCATTCCAAGCACTACTGCACACACGCAACTGATAAATTTCCTACTAGTACACTCAAGTCTAAATCATAACTCAATATGGATATTAGCCCATACTCTTTCTGAATGAAAATAAGGCAACCCAATGAAACTGATGACATGCAAAAAAAGATAAACAGCCCTTTTTACCCTTCAAAAGAACAAAAGAACACGAGAATATTTCTATCAATACTGATATTTTAAAGCATAACACCATAACCTATATTACTCTGCAAGATCAGTTTATTATCCATTTGTTTTCATTTATCCCGAAGATCATTCTTAAGTCTTTCTACTTGTATCAGTTCAATTTGTTGTCTTCACACTATTATTATCAGTTAAGTAACCCTGGGTAAACTGCGGTTTTCATATCTATTGACCTGGGACAACATAGGCTGATATGCCATTAGCATAAGCTTGTCCTAACAAGTATGACTCCTCTCCTTTTATGATTTGTTATAACCAACTTAATTCCATTTTCTTAACTATCTTGATGATTTTGGTTACCCATTTACCTTATAATATTTTTGATATTACAATTTATCTTTTAAAACTAAGGGAAAACAACCTTTCATTCACTTTTTAAATTCTTCCTCTACTGTATGAAATACTGGAAGATATATTGAATTCCCATCTCTAAATTAAAGTTAAGAAAGATACTGCTCAACCATCTACCAATAAACTATTTACCAGATAACTTAGGTTATTTAAAAATAATTATAATATCAATTAAACCAATATAAAGAAAATCTTGAAATGCACTATAAATTCCAAAAGTGCATCCTGTTTATACCATAAAATCTGAGCCTCAGAAGAAGAAAACCAACAAGGCATGATTTAGGTAATCAATACGGGGGCCTGCTAAAATGATTTCTGCAAACGACCAATGAGTTGAGATCACATTTAAAAATGTACTATTACTTACAGTTTAAAAACAAGACACTGGAAAGTAGTGTTATAAATGCTCAAAAGCTCGTGGAAAAAAAATAATTTCCAAACATGGAGTGTTTTTCAAATGTTTAATAAATATAAGTGTTTTTGTTTTTAAAACTGAGGTTAAATACAATTATTAATTTACTAGCCAGATTCACTGTACTCAGAAATTTCTGAATGTAGTTTTCATTTGCTGTCTAAACCATCAATCTGTAAGTCTACATTTAATCTGAAAAAATTATATGACATATTAGATCCTTTAACTACTAATGGTTCAAACTGTTAATTCCCCCCACCTTGGTCATGGTTTTAGAATATACAAGTCCATAAGAATCCAAGCCACTTGACAGTAGACCAAGAAGCAACATAAAAAATGATAATCAGTCCAGGCGCGTTGGCTCACGCCTATAATCCTAGCACTTTGGGAGGCCAAAGGGGGCGGATTACTGGAAGTCAGGAGTTCGAGACCAGCCTGGTCAAAATGGCAAAACCCCATCTCTGCTAAAAATACAAAAATTAGCTGGGCGTGGTGGCACATGCCTGTAATCCCAGCTACTTGGGAGGCTGAGGCAGGAGAATTGCTTCAACCTGGGAGGCAGAGGTTGCAGTAAGCTGAGATAGCACCACTGCACTCCAGCCTGGGTGACAGAGTAAGACTCTGTCCCCCCAAAAATTAACAATAATAATAATCAGATAACTACACTATTTTTATCACTGTAACTTTTAAATAATTTTGAAGGCATTCATGAAAAACTAATCAGAAACAGATAATCTAGATTAGATAAAGCTAAAATCATTAATTGCATAAAATAACAAAATAATAATTAAATCACATTGAGAAATAGTAGAACCAAGTAGATATAAGGTAACAAAAATTAATATTTAAAATAAATAAAAAGCTCATAGAAACTTTTCAAAAAATAACCAAGAAATAAATTAGAAAAGATACGCCAAGTCAATCCAGACAAAGAAATGTAATTAATAAAGATATCTCATTAATTATTATTAAAATGCAAACCAAAACAACAATGCAGCCAGAATTTTTACTTGGGCACAATCATGATAAAAATGGAAAGCAATTTGAAAATGGGGACCATGTATGATAAAAAATATTTATACCCTTTGAAAAACAACCCCAAAAGAAAAAAATAATGAACATTCAGGAATAAGGGGATTTTTAGAAAACTGTGATCATTAAATTAGATTAAAATCTGCAGCCATTAAAATTAGAATATGGTAATTTGCAAAATGAAAGTGTTTATAAAAATGGTTTTGAAAGTAAGGATTGTATCAATATCATGATTATAACTATTTCAAGTGTATGAATGTGGGCAAAGATCAAAGACTATTCAAGGAAAAATTTTAAAAATCAAGTTGATACATTGTAAAAGCCTATGAGATAGTTATGAGATAGTTATGCATCTTTTCTTTATTGGTGATATAATATTGCTTGTGTGATAAATTAAAAACTTGACAAGAACAAATAAATTACAGAATCCAGTCAGTTCCAAAATTAAATCTCCCAAATGCATCAACCAGTACCTATGAAAAAACAATGACTATTCCACAGGAGAGTTCACCAATGGCCAGATCTCTGTAACCAAAGCAAGACCTATATCCTACATGAAATGAAACTGTGAATGGTCCATAGCATATCCATACTCTTTAAGCTATTGATCCATGCCCAAGTGCTTACAAAGTTTACTACCTAGCATGTGATGTTAGATTGTTCATTTTTATCCTTGTGATTGTACTACATCCATTATTTCTATGGGAGTTCAGTATACACTACCAAATCACGTTGTTTGAATACAGGCAGTTCTCAACTTACAAACACCTGACAAAAACCAAAAATAAAACCAGCTGCTGCTGTCCCCGGGTTGTCGCCTTCTAACACTACCAGTAGTCTTACTGTTACCCCTAGAGAGTCTCAGCTGTTGTGAAGAAATCTAAAACTTTTTAGAGAATTTGGGGAGAGAAAGGGTCAAAGCAATAAAATAGCACCAGATACTGAATATACACAAAGCACACAAAGTCATTGCTTACCCTCAGTCGTACTCGATAAAGGTTTGATGAATGAATGAATAAATTTCCTTTTCACCTCTGTAATTTGAGCCCCATTACTTTGTCTCTACCCTACTCCAGCAGCCTGTTAACAAGCCTCCTTTTGGGGCTCTTGATTCATAGAGCTGGAGCTCAAGAAGGGAGTGAAACCTCATAAACAAACAGCTGTGATCAACAGGCTGTCCACTGGGCAATTCAACAGAGAGGACCTGCACACAGGACCAATCCAAAAAGGTCTGTTCTTGTGACCTCCCCTAGAGCACCGGTTTGATGTATTACTCCAACTGTACTTTGATGGCCTTAAAGAAGCAGAACCACTTTAAACACATCTGAAGTCTAATAACTTTTCAATTCATTTCACCCCATGTATTTCTAACTAATCATTCGTCTTCTGAAATTTCAAGCCACTCCATTACTCAAAAATCTTCCTCAGCTCTCTCTTACCAACTGAATTACAGAAAATCAAAGAAACTGAAACTCTGAGAGGTGTGAAAGGACTTTTAGCACAACAACCTAAAGAAGAGGGCAAAACAACTTCACTCTTTCATTCAAGTTCCATCACAACATGGTTCAGGCTATCCTACTTATGATTCGCAGATCTTAACCCTGTACATTTCCTGTCTCCTGACTTTCACTAATGCCACCATTTATATCATACTTTATTTGAATGGTGCCCTCATGATTTTGCAAAATCCAACTCTTGGGCAGCCATATGTGGTGTTCCTACTTTCACTTGTAACATTATGTCCATTTTCCAACCCATCTCTGCCTCTAAAGATGCTAACCAATCCTCAAGGTCCACATCTTCCAGAAAAACCTTTCCTGGTTCCTGCAACTGGTCTTTTTCTCTGAACTTTCATTTCATCTGGTTTATGCCTCTTTTTTGTATATTCTGTCTTTTCTAGTAAAATGAGTTAGTCATGCATGCTATTAACAATATTAGATTGCATTCTCTCTGAGAACATGATCTAGGGTTCACATTTATTTCTATATAGTTTCTAGCCCATTGCCAAAATCAGAACAGGTACTCAAATAATTGTTGGCTGCAACTTTTGATTGGTAAGAAAATACAGATGACTTAGGAACTAGAAAAGTTTAAAGGAGTGGTTTAGACTGAAATGGACTATAGCAATCAAAGACCAAGGACTAAATTTTGATAACTTGGTGTCTTCAGGTTGAGTGGGTTGAGAAGAGTGCTAAGTGGTAGGATATCACTGTCAAAAACACACTTTTCCCTATTTCAAAATTTTGCCTAAGATCAAATACGTACCTATGGAAAAAGACTTCCTCTCATCTTTTCCTCCACTCTGTAAGATACCATCTCGCAAAAAAAAAAAAAAACCCCGAATTCTATACAACAAATTAAAAACACAGTTTTGAAACAAAGTGCAAAGGAACCAAGCATAATTTAACCTGTTTTATAGAATATCAAAAATAACTTTCCTTTTTTAGTTAAGAATAGTCTACTAAAGGGCAGATTTCAACGATACAAATCTGAAACACTTGAAGAGCAGGTATATCATTTTAGAGGTATCTAAATGTTATTTTCTCTACTATATGGAGCCTGTGTGTCTGCCTAACACATAACATTCATTTTCTTAATTAGTATGCATGCTGAAATATCTATTTTAATAAATATATTGTGATCCAAGGAAATCCTTATGATCTATTAAAGGACAATTAACTATAAAAGCATTAGTTGTACAGAAAGAGATAGCTTCAAATTGGTATACATAGATTTCTATTATCTATAGACAAAAATCTATCTGAATATTTTTCAAGACCTTAAAAGATGCTGTGTTTACATAGTAATGGAATAGTATACATTGGCAGATGATTCAAAATATTTTCATATATATCTATATATATGAGTATTTATAAACCTGAAAATTAAATCCCATGATTTTAAGACAATTTAAATATAAAGTAGGCAGGGGAGAGTACAACAATGTTAGAGAGGAGATCACTGAGGAATGAATGAATGTATGTTAAGTATGTTTAATAAGCCTTTATACACCAACATTTTTTGAGATTACATATACCTAAAATGCAAAAAAAATTGCCTCTGTTTTTAATCAGAAATGTCTCAGGGTCATTATCATAAACACAGGTCACCATAGCAAACCTACTCATTCAATTATTTTCATTTACTAGGAAAATACTTATGGAGCCTCTTCTATGAGTCAAGTACAACATTAAGTCCTGGGGATAACAGTATCATATGGGGCAGGCATGGTCTCAGCCCTAGTAGAACTTAGATTCTGAGTAGAAAGATCAACAAATAGCTACTGTAAATTGGGGGAAACACAGTAATAGCTTCTGAAGCTACTGAGATGCTTACATTTGCTTACCCCTGCACTCTTGTTTCCTCCAGTGGCCTATATTTTGATCTTTAAGATCTTGCCTCTGATTTTTATAGTTTATCTGTTTCCTTCTTCACTTTCAGGCTGTCAGTGATTACATTTGCAGTCAATATGTGATCCTTTACCAGTGACAATATTTGACTTCCATATACTGCTCTTAATCTCTAGCCAATCAGATCATCAAACCTATTAAAACTGAACCTAAAATAAGGACAAACTCTGAGTGGAGGCTGAATAGGTATTTTCTACCATTGCAGTTTGATAAAATCATTTTATGGGTTATCTGTTTCCTTCTGATGAGATATTTCTATTACACAACTGACCCTGCCACCCATTTAAGAAGGTAATTAAAGAAATGTTTTACCAACAAAATGTCCCACTCTTCTCTCAGTCTCTTCTAAAATAAATAAAACAGGCCGAGCAGAGTGGCTTATGCCTGTAACCCCAGCACTCTGGGAGGCCAAGGCGGGCAGATCACGAGGTCAAGAAATTGAGACCATCCTGGCCAACGTGGTGAAACCCCGTCTCTACTAAAAAATACAAAAATTAGCTGGGTATGGTGTCGCACGCCTGTAGTTCCAGCTATTCGAGAGACTGAGGCAGGAGAATTGCTTGAACCCGTGAAGCAGAGGTGGCAGTGAGCCAAGATCGTGCCACTGCACTCCAGTCTGATGACACAGCGAGACTCCGTCTCAAGAAATAAAAATAAAAATAAAATAAACAAAACAAAACAACAACAACAACAAAAACCTACACTTCTGCTTAGAAGCAAGATCCCTACTGCCAGAAAAGCCTTCTTTAAGTACAATCTGTAGAGATGGTATCTTAATATATAAACCACTGTTTCTCAAAGACTAGTTCTCAGATCAGCAGCAGCAGAATTACCTAATTTGCCTCTTAAAATTCAGATTCCCTAGGCCTCACCTCAGACCTAGTGAATCACATGCGTAGAGCATGGAGGCCTGAATTTTTTAAGGCTCCTTGAAAGACCGTTGTGCATGATACAGCTTGAATCCACTGATATAAATA